GGGGGGGGGGTGGTCCTTACAAAGTTGACATTAACCATGATGCTCTAAAAGAAAGATGACAGAAGATGACAAGGGGGGTAGAGGCAGGTCATTTTTGGCCAAATTTTTTAGCTGACATCATTTTGTGAGCAGTCTCTTAGCTTTGATCTGCAGCTGATTGGACGTGTGTGTCCGTAATGTTGACAGAGTGAACAGAAATGACCATTCTTGAAATGTTGTTTTCTTTTGAGATAGAAATACTTTCTAGGTAAGCACTGTCTTTGTAAGATAACTGAGGTATGAGATATTTTCATTATACAGTCTACTATAACATGGATAGGTCGAACACAGAAGACTCGAAATCACGCATCCGCTGAACCGTGCCTGCGGGCCTGTGTTTTTTCTTCTTCTTTATCTTTGTTAGATATCCCTCGAACTACGGATTATGACCTTATGCGGTTGCGAGCGCCATAAAACCTTACTAAAACAAAAAAATGGATCCCTCGAACTACCGGGGCCGGTCCCAACGAATTTGAGCTATCTGTGTTATACTGTACTGCTATTTATATATGTGTGTGTATTTTCCTTTTCCAGGTGACGGCTTTATCGGCCTGGGCTTGGATCCTTCGGGGGATCCAGCAGCAACCTTGACCTTAACCTTTGCCGACCTCCAGGCGATGTTGGCGGGCAGGCTGCAGCCCTTCCAGGCATACATGAGCGGTCGTCTCAGGGTATCTGGCGACGTCTCGGCGGCTCTAAAGCTGGATGAGCTCGGCAAGAGGATGAGGTCACAGAGCGGGGTCGTCAACATTCTTTGAACTTTGATGACCTCAGGTCTGAGAGAATGAAGTTGCAGGATGAATGGGATAACCAAGACAACCCTGAACTTTGACCTCTAGCAAGAAAATGAGGTTGCAGAGTGGGATCGTCAAGATACTTTGAACTTTGACCTTTGGCAAAAAAATGAGGTTGCAGATTGGGGTCATCAAGGCGCTCTGATTTTTGACTTACCGCAAGAGAACGAAATCGCAAAACGGTCTCATCAAAATGCTCTGACCTTTCACCTGTAATCCGATTAGTGACGGGTAGGGCACTGTCCTTCATGTTGTTGTGTGAAGGAGAAGAGTCTGGGTGCACCACTTTGATACTGAGAGCATTCATGATTTTTAGTGCTGTCTTCTTCGAGTGGTGATATGAGATACTGTACTTTTTCATCCTTGTGTCGCTCACTGTCAAGCAATATCGTGGTGTGTAGGCTTCTCCTGGTTCTCTTAGCGTTATGAGAAGTCAGGCCCCTTTCATACACTTCAACCAGACGCCATCCGCCGTGGACAGTGGGACGTCGTACATTGAAATAAACACTACACTGTCGTAAGCAAACAAAATCCCTTTTTTTCATTTTGGCGCCAACATTTTGTATTTGCCAAATCAAAATCCTGATTAGTTACTCTACTTGTGTGAAAAAGTCAAAGTGAAACTGTGTCTAGTTTTTAAATAAATTTGAATCCTAATTTCAAAAGAACTCTATTTTTCAATGGTTATGCTGACAAAAATCCTCTTTTTCTCGAAACTGCTGTAATTTTTAAAAAGGCGTTTTGTCAGCTTATGACAGTACAGTCTATGGACACTTTCGTACTTATCGACCTTGGCGTCTCGCCGTGGTACGGACAGCGTATATTTCATTCCAGCTCGACGCCGTACTGTCTATGGCATGAAATAAATACACTGAACAAGTCATTAAAATCCTGAGTATGGTATGGCAAACCAAATACTGTCATACATGTCCTAAACGACCGACCATTGTTTGGGAGAAAGTGGTTCATCTTAGTGAGGTGGTCCTCTTGCACATTGTCATTAATAGTGAAAAATAAAATGTCTTGTTGTTGTTTGGTGGGGGGTTTTTTTTGGGGGGAGAGATGGGAAGTGGTTGTCTTGGACAGGTGATTGTCTTGGACAGGTGATTGTCTTGGACAGGTGGTTGTCTTGTACAGGTGATTGTCTTGTACAGGTGGTTGTCTTTGACAGGTGATTGTCTTGTACAGGTGGTTGTCTTGGACAGGTGGTTGTCTTGTACAGGTGGTTGTCTTGGACATGTGATTGTCTTGGACAGGGGATTGTCTTGGACAGGTGATTATCTTGGTCTTGGTCTTGGACAGGTGATTGTCTTGGTCTTGGTCTTGGACAAGTGATTGTCTTGGACAGGTCGTGGTTGTTAGATCAGGTTTCAATTGTACATGAAGTTTATCAGATTGTTGAGCGCTGACACTGCAGATTTGCCTCCTGTCAAAGTAAAGTGATGTTTTATTTGTGAGTTCTATTTTGTTTAATATTTAGGTTTTTCTAATAGGCCTAGGCCTGTGTATTAAATATTTTGGCACATGTTAATATCTTATATAAATTAAATGCAGCAAGCTACGCATAGAATTTTATACCGAAAATTTTCAAGCTTTTTTGTCATAGCATGTTGGCAACACTGTCTATGTTACAGTGTTTATTTTATGGCTAATATTCCAAAGAAAGGCTTGGACCAAAAAGAGAAAAAGGCTTCCTTGAGCTACCCTTGCTTACCATTGTGCACACTCATTTACACAGAGTTAATGTAATGTGCCTTTCTTTTGATGTGGGTCCTCTTGGAGATATAATAGTAATATAGATTTCTACCCCCCCCCCCCCCCCCCATGGACACAATTTAGATCATTTAGGAGGCACGCTGCTTTGATCCTGTCTGTCAGGGCCAACTTTGGCTGAGAGGGATACAATGTCCCTGCTGAAAGATCCAGATACTCAGTAATAGAATTTCTCCTCACCTGGCAATCGAACTCAAGTCTTGTGCTTGTGACGGTGAAGCATCTAACCAGTACACCACAGATGTCAGTCCTCTCTCTGGGAGCTTTGAGTGATAGGTTTGTTGAGACTTGAAGGAAAGTTGGGGGGGGGGGGGGGGGGGGTTCAAATATCTTCAAATATTGGCCTCAATAAGGGCTGTTTGAACGTTGTTTTTTAAATCTCTAAAGTCCCAACATATATGATTTATTAATCTATATTCAACAGCATAAACTACTATTTTATGTGAGTGTGTGGGTGCAGGGTAACCTTTGTGTGGTTGGTTTTTTCCTTGCAGTGTCACCATTTGTGTGTACCTCAATCAGAATGAATTCAATGAGTTATTCAGGTCTGCCAGGTACTCCGACAAAACCAGAGCTCTCCAATTTTTTTTTTGCTTAACAAAGAATCAAAATCGGAGTTATGCAAAATCCAATTTTTTTTCTTGAATCCATTTATGTCGTGTCATATGTGCCTCATCGTAATCGACGTGAAAATGCCCAATTTTATTTGCTTTCATTTGCAATATTTGCATGACTTACCAAAAAAGATGTAGAAATACACATTTTAATTTGTATTTACAATGCATGTTTATTTCACACAGTTGGTCATAGTCCTAAATTATTGGAGATCTGGAGACTCCTAATTTTGTTTTCTTAAACTCCTAGTTCTGTTTTTTGGGGGTTTTTTTTGGAGTAATCTGAGAAAACTACTATTTGTGGTCTTGGAGTGGTAGGCAGATCTGAGTGGTTCCAGCATTTTTCACTCACCCTTTCAAGCAGGGTTGTGAAAGTGTCAAGTTACCATACTGTTGTCTTATTTTGTATGTGGCACACAATGACCCCCGTTAAGTTGATCAGCCATTGACTCCATCCCAGCATCTCCTAACATCTTATTTTGTGTTAGTCCATCAGTACATTGAGGTCTCTGGCGTGATCTATGTTTTACACATGTACATGGTGGAGTGGTTGGTGCGCTCGTCTCCGAAGCGGAAAATCCGGGTTCCAGCCTCGGTTCGGACTCTGATTTTTTTCGCCCCCTCCTGCCCACCCAGCAGTGATGGGTACCTGACTTCAAGTTTGGGAAGTAAGGGCGGCTTGGAAAGGAACTGGCCACCCTACCACAAAATGCCGAGGGTTCAGGAAGTTGTCCCTTAAACAAGGCAGTCCCCAATGTCCGGATCGGATTCAGGAACAACTTTACTTTTACATTGTAGGCCTACTTATTTGTTAGATTTTTATGACTCATCATCGTTGTGTGTTTGACTTCAGGGTGAGTGAACGAATGCTTTGAAAATGTGTGTAAGTGCACATAACAAAATGATTATTTATTTATTGAACAAAAGACCAGACGAGTTTATGATAAGAGTATGAAAAATATGGCTGTGATTTACTATGTTTTACCAGTATATTTATCTTTTAGTTTCATATTGTGTGATTTTGGTACATTGTAGCCCATTTGTGTTCTCCTGTGGAAAAATGTTTGCCTGTGTAGATCAACAGCTGATCCACATTTGTTTGTGGAAAAAACCCCACGATAATCACTATTATGTGTAGGCCTATTTATGTTGTTACTGGTGTTTATTGATATTGATCTTCAGTAGTTATTTTAACCCCCCACAGACACATTTTAGATCGTCTAGGAGGCTGGCTGTTTTGACACAGCCTCTCAGTACTGACTACGGTATGTGTTCTCGATGAAGGACTAAAAATTGGACTTAAAATTTATGTCATTGAGTAAAGGAAAGAAAAACTAGACTGCACAGATCTGATGCATGCTTAAAGGTGGAATGAATACTTATACAAGATGGTTAAGATGGAAGAATTTTGATAGATGATGGTAAAAATGAATATCTGTATCTTTCTTTGTTACAAATCTGAAACCTAGGTTTTTTTACTTCTGACTGATGTTTTTATTTAAGTGAACAAGGGATGTTTGTTGTCGAAAAAGATGGAATTTAATTTTTTAGTGCAAGCTGTTATGTTAATATGGGATTGATGGGGGTAGTGGTAGGGGAGGAGAGGGGTCAAAAATAAAGGAAGAAGAAGAAGAAGAAGAAGAAGAAGAATTCTGTTGTTTTATTATTTTTCTGTTCACTGGGTGAAGGGAGGTAATGTTGTGTAATGTTGAGAAGACATAATAATATACTTAATATTTTGTATAGCAGGCTACCTTGCCCTGCTCCAGCAAAGTCTGATGTGAATCCTGATGCGAAAACCTGAAGAGACTCTACTACTACTAGTGGTTTGAAGAACTTCATTCAGTCAACTGCCCCTGAAATCCAGTCTGAGAAAGCAAAAAAAAAAAAAAAAGGAAGAAGATGAAGACAAATTTTTTGTCTCTGATTATGTTTGTTCGACAAAGCATTACAAAACTATTGTGTATGAAATGGTGCTATAGGCTACTGTCCCTACCACAAAAATCCCCTTGACCCGTCACTAATTGCAACAGAATTTCTGTTTGCGGTAAACTGTATATTGTGATTCTAAGATACTCTGTACAAAATCGGGTGAGGCATTATGGTGTTATTAGGCTTTCTTGTTCTTGTAAGAGTTTTACGGCACTTGCAACACAATAAGGTCATATAAGTGCCGTATTAGGCTTTCAATGGCGTCACATATAACATAACATACATAGGATTAGTAATACTTAACACACCCCCGTCGTGTTGCATCTCATTAAAGCTTGGCATCTTGTCTTTTTATTTACAAAGCTACATTTATGACCAGAGAGAGCTATTTGCGGATATCGTAAAGTTACATTAAGAGTGACACTCAGTCATTAAGACCAAATATAATTAGAAAGACACTATTTTAAGTTTTGAACCATGATGACTATACATCGACATGAATTACATAAATACATGTAGTACAGTAACACGTGGAGCAAGTTAAAATGCGTTAATAAACATATTATATCTACTATTTCACAATAAGAAAAGTGGGCTTACATGTAAATATCCTCTATACAAAACTAATGTTTTATTCATTGAGGCAGCGGATACCATGGCACTCTGCACATGCTTGTGAGCATTCCAGTCCGTGTTTCCGACAGGAGCAGCGTCGAGTGTCACAGTTGTCCTTGCAGGTACACAGCACAATTTTCAGAAGGTCTGATGGTGCTGCCGACAAGGTGGTCATGATGGGAACATAATGTCCATCCTCATATTTCCATCCCCATTCTACGGGATTAAGCGTATCATTTCCCATCCACTGCTGCACCTGAAGATACACTCTTAGACTATGATAGGCCCTACTTAGCTGCAGCTGATGTCAGAGGGAGTGAACGCGCCTGTATAAATGCTGTGCCTGTTGCAACTTCTGCAGAAGATACGATGGCGTAGTTCATCAAGACTTTCTTCTGGTTTTCCATTGTACAGAAGCACAACGGCTTTTTCGCCTGAAGCAGCAACACTTTGGGCTGATTTGTTTGTCATAAAATATGTAGTTAAGCTTCTAAGAGCATCATTTGGTGGAACTTTTTCAAAGTAGCGCCTTTCCCGATACCAAATGTTCTTGAGGTGGTGTCACAGCCTGTAAGGGAATGGAGAACCAGCAGAGAATGTCGAAATGTCCCCAGTTGTATAATTAATTGTTTGATATCCCATTGCTTTATTTTTAAGCTAGGATGTTTTTGTTCGGATAGAAATAGATGTTATGAGCATGTTCGTCGGCATAATGTGCTAACAGAAGGAGAAGA